ATGGGCCGTTTTATCCCCGCGGAATACACGGGCGGGGGCGCGCGCGCGCGCACACACACACACACACACGCACACAGACGTCCGCTGATGATGTAGTGTGAAGTTTGGAAACCTGTTACTCTGACTTTTGACATGATGGAAACAGACAGGAGATGACGTCACAGATCAGTCATCACTCTGACACACACACACAGTGAAAGTCATTAGCAAAAACAAACAGCAAATTCACCGGTGAAGCCCGGAGAACCGTGCACCGAACCGGGGCGTAGTTAAAAAAAAAAAAAAAAATAGTGTCACGAAACTCACTAAACGACAATTTTGACACCGCGAAAATTTCCACGTCAGAAAAAAATTAATGAATATATATACAGCGGGCGACAGGGCCGGAAGTAGCTAAATCAAAACAAGCTAACGCTGTAGAAACATATTACGACTACGACTTATTAATAATAATATTGATTATTATTATTGTAACAATAAAACAACGCTAAAATAATAATAATAAAATTGTCGTTTAACAGTTATTGCAATAATTATCGTGTAAAATGTAAAAAATAACTCAAAAATCTCTATTTTTTTTTTTATTGTTAGCACTGCTGGAAAATATAAACTGTTGGTTCAAACAATTTTTTTAATGTTTTCCTTCATTATTAAAAATGAATGAAAACTATTGAAAATTAAATTATTAAAACGCGGGGATATTGAAGTGAACATTTAAAATTATAAACTAATTATTCGAATGACCGATTCTTAACAGTGCGAAGGAGAGACGTTCACGGACTCGCATCGGACACTGGTCAAACTGCACATAGTGTGTGTGTGTGTGTGTGTGTGTGTGTGTGTGTGTGTGTGTGAAGACTGTTGATTTTTAACGGAAAAAACACAGAAAAAAACCCATTTAAAATCCGTTTAATTTTTTTAAATCAAACTTTTAATCCTATTGTTTTTTATTTAAATTCCAACTCCTGTCAAATTCCCTGAACGTCACATTTAAAAATAAATAAATAAAATCCAATGAACCAGTGTTAAATGACAAAAAACTAGCAGTGAGGTGTGGTTAATATTTGAACTGGAACCCTGCTGACTCCTGACCTTAGACCTTTGACCTCTACTCCCCATTTACTGTCCACTGCCAAGCTGTTGAACTATAACACCTCTCACACACACACACACACTTTTAACACACTTACCACTGACCACTGACCTTGTCCTTCGACTCCCATTTATTTCCCTTCAGTTTGAGTGAATTTAACGTGAAACTAAAATCACTTCAAAAACACAAATATTTTAAAAAAAATTAAAGACTGATATTTAGATTTGTGTCATTAACACTAATTATTTTCCCGTGGCTTTAAATCAAAATAAAAATTAAAAAATCTATATTAAAGTGAATGATGAAAAAAATAAAAATAAAAAAATGGTTATGGAACGCAAATTAAAGAAGTTGAAAACCGTCACTGCCGATCGGGAATCTGTGACTCCAGGATCAACCTGAGGCCTCCACAGGCCACAAACGCAACTCAAAAAAAAAAAAAATCATCAGGTGTGTGTGAGTGTGTGTGTGTGAGTGTGTATATGTGTGTACGTACGGTTGTTGATCTCCCCCGTGTGGGTGCTCACTGGGATGATCTCCATCCTCTGTTGTCCGTAAAGGTAGTAGTCCAGCTCCTCCGGCGTCAACTTGAACCTGGCTGTAGCCCCCTTTCCTCCTTCATCACCTCCTCCTCCTCCTCCTCCTCCTCCGCTGCTCCTGCCGATCTTCACGCTGGATGACACCACTCCCACCCCTCCACAGCCCTGCTCTTTGTCCTGGTGCAGGAGTCCCGCCGCCAGGTTGTGATGACCCGGCTGATTCTCCGGCGGGATGACAACCACCAGATCTCCTCCTCCTCCTCCTCCTCCTCCTGGTCCTCCTCCACCTCCGGGTCCTGCACAAACTGGGGCCAACGCCTGCCCGAAAAGTGCGATCTGCTGGGATACGGGCAACTGGGAGAGCCCTGTGGAGACAGAAATTGAGGAGGATGGAGTGAGAGCCGCCGAAGAAGAAGACGCCGCCGCCGAAGAGGGCGTAGAGGAGGAGGACGAAGCAGAGGTGGAGGTGCAGTGCGAGGAGGCCAGGAGGTGGCTGTGGAGACGGGAAGGGTGCAGGCCGTCCACGGGGATGGAGAGGCGCTCGGGCTGGTGCGGCTGATGAGGAGGAACCAGAGGAACCTTCAGCTGAGCCTGAGGGAAGAGCTGCTGCCAGTGCTGCAGGTACGACGGGTCCACCTTCAGGAAGGCCGAGCCGCTCGGGTCACCGGGCTTCAACATGTCGGCCTGGGGAGAGGAAGAGGAAGAGGAAGAGGAAGAGATGTCAGTCATCCACACACAAGGGGTCATAAGGTCAAAGTGAGTGAAACGCACACAATAACAGGAGCAACATTTTTTTTTAAAAATCATGAAAATTTGAAATTGAATTTTAAAAAATGAGGTTGTTGGTTTGAAACCCACACCTGAGCCACATTTTTATCTTTTATTTACTTATTTATTTTTTTATCGTTATGTTTGAACTTGTTGCGTCACCGGTGTAAAAACATGATGATAATTCTCATTATTTCACTGCCGGTTCATCAGAAATCACAGATTTTGTCTTTAAAGCTTTCCTGTTAAAAAACAAAATTAAACAATTGATAAATATATCTATATATATATGTTACAGTATTTATGGTTAAGTTAACACGATCTCATTCAACAAACTCTAGAGTCTGGAGCTGGTGTGAAAATGCACTTCCTTAAAATCATTAAAAAGAATAAAAATAAAAATCGGATTTTTTCTATTTTATCATTTGCGGTTAAAACTTAAAATCTAATCTTTTTTTTTTTTTTTTACATTTTTACATTTTCTTAAAAATAATCATCTAATCATTTCATCAAAGAAAAATTCAAATTCAACCTCTTTAATGAAAACGTCTCCAGTCTCTGTCAGAAGATGTGACCGAAAATCCCGCCTCGTGTTCGCGGCAGGTTTTGCGCACGAGCGACGTTGAAAGTTGAAGTTCTGACACTTAACGTTGAACGTAGCTTTAAAGTCAACGTTTGGAATTTCAAAAACAAAACAACAAAACAACGTGTTCCAGTTCAGACCAGCGGTCCGGCCGCGTCGTCCGTGGCCGGACTGAGGCAGCGGTGCGCGGTCAGAGTCCCGGTATGTTGACTCACTTCTTTTTCATCTTTACGTTTAAATTTAAAGATTTCTGTTAAAGTGGAGCACGGGCGGGAAAAACAGAAAAAGAAAAAGCAAAGCTTACTGCTCTCAGTGTGGGTTCAGCTCCTGGGCGCTGGTGTCCGGGCAGCGGTGGAAGGTCCGTCCCTCCTCCGGTCTGTGTGTCACCATCAAGGGGGAGAAGCTGCGAAAAGATTGCTGCGCTCTGCGAGTCTCCGGAGCCAAAAGTATCCAAGCGTTCTCCCTCTCCCTCTCCCTCTCTCTCTCTCTTTCTCCTGCCATTCACTTAACCTCTCTCCTCCCTCCCTCCCTCCCTCTCCTTATCTTCCACACTTTCTCTCTCTCTCTCTTTAATTATCTCTCTCTCTCTCTCTCTCTCTCTCTCTCTCTCTCTCTCTCTCTCCTCTCGGCTCCGTCTTTAAACTTTTTCTCCTCTCTCCTCATTTAAAAAAATAAAATAAATAAAAATCAGTTCAATTTAAATAAATCTTCACTGACGTAACAACGACACCGATGTTTCCCCGGGAGCGGAGGTCAAAGGTCAACGTCCATGTCTGTCCAGGTTGGGGTTTCATCCTGATGAATAGTTGAAAAATTAAAAAGCGTGACGTTATATTTACGTCCGTGTGACGTCAGACGTCAACAACATCACAGATTTCTACGGGTTGCGTAGAAATAGCACCACACGTAGGACACTCGGTGAACTGCCATTCAAGGATGTGGACGTAACGACTGCGTTACAAACGACGCAGCGCTCAGTCAGAACTCAGTTTGAGTTAAGAATTTTTTTTTTTTAAAAAAGTAAAGTTTTATCGAACTTATAGAACTTGTTTCAGAGTGGATGAAATAAAGCATTGGTTCTCAAACTGTGGTGCGTGTACCATTAGTGGTACTCGGGCTGCCTTTACTGGCACAAATCAAGAGGTCACTCTATAGTCGCGTTGCTCTTAAGCGGTGGTTTCTCAAACTATGGTACACGTTCCACTGGTAGTCCTTGGGCTCCCTCTACTGACACATGAGGAAACGTGATTCTCGTCAGGGTCAGTCGTCAATTAAAGTCAAACTTTTCTCCAAATATTTTTTCTCTGCTGGCAATGATACAAATACTTCTGAGGAAATACATCTGAAAAAATATATCCGAAGAAATACATCTGAGAAAATACATCTGAAGAAATATATCTGAAGAAATATATCTGAGGAAATACATCTGAAACTAGTTCTATTCTATTTTTATTTTTCTGTAGACTATGAACCACCAACACTTTTCAACAAAGGCTAGTTGTTGATCTGTTCTCCATTCTTAAACACTGTCTTTGTTGTCCAGGAGACGCAGATCATCGTCCAGCCGCTCTCCTTCTTCCTCTTCGCGCTCCTCGTCACGCTCCTCCTCTCGCTCATCCTCCCGCTCACGTCGAGGACGACGAGGACGAGGAGGAAGGGACGGACGCCGTACCCGGAGCCACTCACGATCGAGGCGGCGTAGTAGGTCGCACTCCAGGGGTAGAGGAAACGGGGGAGCAGCTTACCGCAGGAGACGTGATCGATCGCAATCCCGGTCCAACGACAGAGACAGAGAGAGGGACAGAGACCGGGACAGGAAGCGATACTCGGCACGGAAGCGGTCAAGGTAACAATTCTCACCATTTCTGTTTTCAGTGACAAAATACATCTGAGGAAATACATT